TGGTTGCGCAACTTTTTTTTTTTTTCCTTATCTCCAGATGATCCATGCTGACATTTATTTTCTAGCTGCTGTCAACAAGTCTCTCAAGCGTGGTGTTAAGGAGGTCGTCAAGGCCCTCCGCAAGTCTCCCATCCCCGCCGCCAACGCTCCCATCGGTGTCCCCAGCGGTGTCGTCGTTCTCGCTGCCGATATCTCCCCCATGGATGTTATCTCCCACATTCCCGTCCTGTGCGAGGACCACGGCATCCCCTACGTCTTCGTTACCTCCCGCGCTGAGCTCGGTGCTTCCGCTGCCACCAAGCGCCCTACCAGTGTGGTCATGGTTACCCCCAAGGCTGCCAAGGGCAAGAAGGATGATGACGAGGAGTTCACCAAGGTGTTCGAGGAGCTTGCTGGCTTGACCCAGAAGGAGCTCAAGAAGCTGACAGTCTAAAAATGTTCTCGACTGATCTGTTTTACCTTTTGTTATTTGCTCTTCCCACGCTGTTCACTGCGAGTGGGTTCTCTGGTTGTACAGGTTTCTGATACCGTCTGTTCGGACGGTGCATGTCTTATGGGGTCCGGCCTATGGGTATCTTTCTATATTTGCTCTTTTGTTCCAACTCGGCGTTATTTGAATGGTGTACGAAAAAGGCAAGAATTCCAATGAGATACCACCAACCTCATAGACACTCGGTTCTGAGTAAGGTCTCGGTTAATTTTAAGGGACACCCGTGCAAATCCCAGCCACTGCACTGCTCCACAGGGAGTGTGACACCTGCATAGACCGCGTTGTGCCTGATTGCTGTCGCAGTGGATATTCTCGGAGACTCACATTATAGTCCTTTGTGCGATAGGACAGCGGGTCGCACATGAAATTGGTCTCGAGCGCCTCCAATATTGAATAGTGCACTCAGTTCATAAATTCTTACGGATGTAATCAGTCACACAGCGTAGCGAACTATAGAACTGTGACCGCAGGTGGGGTCAACATGGCGACGAATTTCATCCAATATACACGTAGTGTGAAGAGCCAAGCCTACATAGGCAATTAGCCTTGCATCGTGAGATAAACTAGTACTGTGGCGTTCTGAGTTCATGCCGATCAATATGATCGATCCCTATCCACCTCGACCCTATGTCCAACAAGGGATGAAGGGCATACCCAGAGCGCAGCACAATGACCTGGATAAATCCAATACGAAGCTCAGATCTTTTAGCACTAGCCTAGATTCAGGAACAGATTTGATATTGGGCACCAGGTCTAGAATTGAGGGTTTCCCTTTGTCCTACACAGCTTCTTCCTTGTGTTCGAGGCACGGGCCTTGCGGTTGATCTCTCCCCGGTCCTTGAAAATGATATAAGACCTGAATGCCCTCATTCTCCGCGCAATTCATTCTTTCCACATATACCGGGGCCATCGTATTAGCGAACTCCCTCTTTATATCTCTGACAATGCACATTAACCGCCCATCCATTGTATCACTCGCACTTATTTTAGCCCTTACTCAATCAACTATATCCCACCCTATCCGAACTATCAAATGGGTCAAAACAGAGCAATTCCAAGACCCAAAGGATCGTGGAATATGGAAGGTCTTCGAGAAAGAAGGATATGATCAATTACCCGACCCACCGCACATCAGATACAACGGGGTAAGTACAGAATCCTATATTGTCGACTCGGCGACTTACCCGTATCCACGTATAGAACCCAGCATGGCCCAACCGAAACAACGAACAATTAGAGCAAGACACACCAAATGATCGCTATAAAACAGGGACTTCCGAGTGGGGGAAACCAACAGTTTCAATCCTGATCCCAGCATCTCCAGTTATACCAATGCAAAAGCCCTACAGCCAAAAGACGGGAGAAAAGCAGGAGAACCACTCAGAAGACAAGGGGGGCTCAATCAATGCATCTGCTGCCCAGAGACAAGGTCACTACAGCGACATCCTACAATCCCTGCACACAAAAGGCGCCCTAAGAAATGAGCATAAATATACCCCGCCTGCACCTTTCTCCTACTCCTCATCGGACCATTCGACCTCTTTCTTTGCATACCGCTGCTCTTTCCCGACGTTGAGATTAGAAACCATGTCGTTGCCACAGTATCCTCTTCCAGGAGGTTTTACGACAGTGATTATTCTCCTAGTGATGGTTTGGATTGCTATGTTCACCATTGGGTTGCTTGAACTTGGGAATTATCTTTGGAGACGGAGGGCAGAGACGGAGGGCAGGGAGGATGTTCAGGGTCTGCATAGTCAGGAGGATGTGAGTTTTGATGAGACGATGAAGATGCCGTTAACAATAGTTATTGCTCCTTCGGAAAACACTCGGCCGTGTTCTATGGGAGAACAAGGGTATGAGTTCCTAGAGTCCGTTTCCAGTGACTATGAGTCGGACTCGGGTTCGGAATCTGATGAGGATGATTATCGCATCTTTTGATTGTAACCCACCTGGGTATCTGTACATTTGCTGATCAATCAATTCTTATGTTCCATCCGCGGTCCATTCGTCTTAACAAGTATATATCAGATGTATGTTGTTGACAAGAGGTAATGCACCCTACTAGGCTACTATCAGGAATTCCACTTTTCGAAAAGAAAAGGGTTGTGCACGACGCACACATTAGAGTGAGAATGTCGAGGTCAGCTTAGGTCGAGATTGATACAGAGTAAAAGATGGAAACGGATGTAACGATCATATTTTTTACATGTTATTGTACATAAGCGAAATGCAATCATAGACTGACAGTTCACATAACCTTAGCCGCAGGCCGAGTGAAATGAAAGTACGCTTACTTCTATTTCCCAATTAGAAAGATCAAACATATTGGGCCAAAGCTCAAACCAGGGAGACTTAAGCGCGCTGGTCACTCTGCAAGTGCTCATATATAGTATAAGTATCCACACCCTTCTGATGGGAACGAGCAGACTCATGAGCAGAGTGGTTATTGCTGTGCTGGAATTGCCTGATAGCATCACGGCCAGGGTCCTGGCCGGAACCAAGTTCCGAGTCGAAGCTAACATTCCTAGCATTGTCGGAGGGCAAGCCACCCGCTTGAATGTCGGTCACGTCTGTGGTCTGACTGGCACCGCCACTGCCGCTGGCCGCGGAGTATTCGCCAGCCTTGATGCCCATATCTCTCTTGGCCGCAGTTGAGCCACCAAAATACCCGGAGTTGTCCGTGTGTGTGCCAGGGAAATTGCCCTGGCCGACAACGCATTCGGGGTACTTCTGTTCCTCATGACGGTCCTGGCGCCGAGCGCCGTATGGGGCGGAAGGAAGCTTGATAGATGAGGTGATGCTGGTGTTGGTTACTGTGGATTGGTTTCCCGCGACGCCCATGGGCTCGGCGCCGCGGTTTCCAGAGAAGCCGCCACCTTCGCGGATAGACTCGGCGGCGAGCGAGTCATTGGTGATAGGGCCGGGCGGTTCTTCGATGCGCTGCTTTGAACGAGGATCGGTGGTGATCTTGGTGCCACTGTTACCGGCAGGAAGAGGGGTGGTTGGAACATCCATGACGATGGGGTGAAAAAAGCAAAAAGAGGTAGGTTAAAGTTACTGAAGAGATGTTTGACAGAAAGATAGGGTCGTGATGGCATATCTTATAAGAAAGCAGTGAGAACCGCATATTGAAAGTATATGGTATCGTATAGCGAAGAGCATTGATGTCATACTTACGTGCCAGGAGCATTTACAAGATAAATGCAAGCTCAATCTTGTTGGCCAGTCGTAGTCGCGTCGGCTAGTTATGCTGCAGACACTCCGTTTGGCTGGAGAAACCGATAGGACGAAGGATGTGTAGCACAGGCTCCCCTCTGATGTATTCATGCTTGTAGAAGGCATCGAAAGGAGAGACTGGTGCGCCACATGCTTATCCATCTCCTGACCAAGTTGGCGTTGTTACAAGGAAGAGGCAATTGACGTCAGGCCTAGACCCCTGACATGCATGCAAACAATGCAAATACCTTTATTTTCATGATGTATCCGACGGTTATCTGACCTTAACATTTAATCCTGTGTTTAAAGTAAGCTCGAAAATAAAAAATATGCCATATCCAATGGTTATGGCAGCAAAACGGTATTCTTTTGCACTTTTATTGTACATATACATCGGATTTCATGCCGAGGTGGCTTTCCCTTTCCGTTTTAGTGCTCAACCCTTGCCGCTTTTTGCTCACTGTGGAGCCCGGGGCCATGGACTCATTAAGCTCGCCTCCGCAGCCCCTGGGGTCTGTTGGATTTTAGATATTTACACCAGATTTCTGTCATTACTCACGAGAGTGGATGATCTACAGGCTCAATCTTGCTCGTATATAGAGCCTCCCATTACATTGGACCTAGCCTCTCCGAACGAAGAATTAAGAGGACATTCATCGGAATGGCGCGCTTAGGGAGGTGGGTAGTCAAAGCCCCGGCGTATATGACTTAATTAAGCTCATAAGTAGGTACCTTATGTAGATAACTACGTACCTAACGCCCACATTTTGACTAGACCTGGCAAGGCCTTCTCCCAGATCTTCAACTGCTAACCCTTCCATCTCCTACCTCTTAAGGCATGACCTAGAATGGCTGTCATGAATCGCACTGCATTCTGGCCTTCTTAACTTGTCCGAGTCGCCAGCTTGCGCATTCCATAATAACTTCAATCACATCTTCAATCTGCTCTTTGGTATTATCCGCGTGTATCGAGAGTCGCACTCGATCCATGCCTTTCGGAACAATAGGGTACCTCACCGGGTTAGCCCAGAACTTAGCTCGATGCATGTGTCCGGCCAATTCAGTCGACTCATTAGGTGGTGTTACTAAGGGAATGATAGGCGATCGGGGTATTTCAGAGTTCCAGCTCTTCTCACTCGGGATTTGGATGATGTTTCCCTTTTTGATAGCAGCCCATTTAGGATGACTGAGGAAGGTCATGTAAAAGTACCGGATGTTGTCTTGTAGGGTCCGCCGGCGCTGATTGGGTTAGCCTTTTTCTGGTAGATTAGAATAGCACATACCCTTTCTCCGTCTTCACTGGCTAAGATTTCGTAACCGGCTTTGACAGCAGCTAACGCAACGAAGGAAGGAGCCGTGGAAAAGATGACACTCCGCGCATAGTTGATGAGATTCAATTTGATAGCCGGTTCCGCCAGTACCACAGCTAAAATAATTAGATTGTAGAGTCACAGCGAAGGGAAAGTGGGAACTGTACCTCCATTCGACCCTAAAGCTTTGCCAAAGGTATGCACACGAAGGCCTATTTCCTTTTCGAGTCTATGATAGGAAATGAATCCGGAGCCATTCTGCCCAAGCAGGCCGTTGGAATGTGCCTCATCCACTGAGAAAATAAAATTTCTCCTAGCAAGGGTATTCTTTGCAATATCAATGAGTTCATGGATTGGGGTTTCGTCTCCGTCCATGCTATAAAATGACTCCAAGGCAACGAAAACCACGTGGCTGCCATCCGCAATGCCAGGATTCTGGTCACGGAGGCCTTCCAAACAATGGCGGAAAGAAGCGCAGTCGTTGTGTGCAAACATGATGGTCTTAGCTCGTCCACGTCTCATTCCATCGTGTATGCTTGCATGCACATACTGATCATACAAGACAAAGTCTCCATTCTGTGGGATTGTTGACCAGAGTGCGACATTTGCATCAAATCCAGAGTTGAATAACAAAGCTGACTCGGCGTTGTGGAACTGAGCCAGATATATTTCAATGTCTTTCAAATATTGTGTGGTGCCTTCAAATATACGAGTCGAGGTACTGCCGAGAATGAAGTTTGGATTCTTCTGGAGCTGCTCTAGAAAGGATCTAGTCAATGTCCCCGATGTCGCCAGCGAGAGCGTATCGTTTGACCCGAAGTCTACCATTTGGGCAATGGTGGAAGGATCGGCAGGGCTGATCAATCTGTTATCACGCTCACGCTCATCCAATGCGGACTGAAGTTTCTGGGACAGAATTTTCTTGCCATCCATGATTGTTGCAGGTAGACTTGTGTAGTAAAAGCAATGATACCTTCTTTTAGACTGAAATTGTCGATTATAGTGCGAGAATTTCGGGGTGTAACGATGCTACATATATACAATGAGATATTTCAGTAGATCTTGACTGATGAGAGCACTGCAGCCTACCATGAAGAATTATACGAGAAAAAAAGATTTCTCGAGGTTGAACAATGACAAATATCCTATAACTATACTGTCACGCGGATGAATGGGGTCAGAGTATACATGGGCCATATGTATAATTCCCATTCTCATTAGGCTGAAATCACCAATCAGGGCACAGCCACCCTGCCTGAAACAACCTGAAGAAGTCTCTTAATGCACCTAGAAGGAAGCAGGTAACGTGCTTGCCTAATGAGGGATCCTTCATGTCATTATCATGTAGGGGATCTTTCTCCCGGTCAAATCCACGTGTGAAGCGCGGTACTGTACTAAAAAGGAGATCCGCAACGTCAATAGCGTGGTCGATCGGCTTTAGCATATACTCTTTTCCTGCTAAGAAACCTCCTTTCTGTTTCTATACGACCATAGTGAGTCATGTAGTGAGTCATGTCACGTCACCGCATTACTCCTTTAGGGGTTGAACATGGCTACACATATGTACGTTATGTGAAGTTTAAATCATTCTGGGCCTTTATAGGAACATGCCACATTAGTGGTTTCATTTAATTCATGCGTTCGGGCCTTCCTGTATGCATAGCAACTCTTGAGGCAGTCCACGGGTCACTGTGTTATTCATGGCAGTGGAAAACAGGACCGATCCGTATTATCTGTCAAAAGAGGTTCCCAACTGGGCAACTTGCTCCATGCTACGTCTCAGTGTACGTCAGTGGTCGAGAGTGGTGACAAACGAACCGTCGCATCAAATATAGAGCCAGTGAGATTCTAAAGACGATAGCCACATCAACACCGACACGTCCTAGTTATTTCAAAATTCTCAAACAATTATCATCTGATCATCGATACCAATGGAGAAGATTATCTACGAACATTCTAAGAGAGCTCCAAACTCCATAGCTGTGGAGGACGAAAACCTATCTCTGAGCTATCCTGAATTACTTGCCGAAGCCGCTCACCTAGCCCGCACGCTCGGAGAGGTAGTCTCTGGTGAGTTGATTGGCATTTTGCTTGGCCCTGGAATCCATTAGATTGTTGCACAGCTAGCTGTGCGTATCTCTGGTGGTACTTGCGTGCCTATGGAGCCATCGCTTCTAAAAAGTCGCATCATGTCGCTTCTAGGTGATATTGGAGTGAGATGTGCCCTCGTTGACGAAGACACTGCGGATTTACATGACATACAGCCGATTTCAGGCCGGACCCTCGATTTGTATCAGAAAACTTCGAAAACCACTAAGAGACAAGCCATATTCTCTTCACCTCCGGCTCAACTGGGAAGCCCAAGCTAGTTCAAATCCGTGCCGAGAATATCTTGCATATGGCGACCAAGACTCCCGCGACACCCTTGCAAAGAACTGATAGAGTCACTGGTTCCACAATCAGGGATTTGATATAAGTCTATTCGAGATATGGGTCACACCCATCTCTGGGGCCACGACTGTCCGTCTGTATCGAACAGGTGACATGGCTGAATGGCGTGGTGGCACCGACCTCCTGGATTGTATTGGACGCACTGATAGTCAGGTAAAACATGCAGGGTTTCGCGTGGAGTTGGGCGAGATTGAACGTGCCTTGCTTTCGCATAGAGACATTCAGTCCGTTGTGGTAGTCTGACAACCGCCACTATCCGAGAACGGAACGCACGCACTCGTGGCTTTCGTGGTAGGCAGCGAGGAGTTTGAACCACAGCATTTACTTGAATATGCTAGGGAACAGCTCCCAGCTTACATGATCCCCAATGCCGTCGAACGTGTCGCCGAGTTTCCATCATTGACACCGAACAGAAAAGGTGGACCGAAACGAGCTTGTTCAACGACGACCCGAGACTGTTGAACAGAAGTCATCAGTCCAAGGTCATGCATCTAGGGACAAAAGGGCAATGCTTCAGGGTATCTGGAGAGATTTGCTGAACGTGTCCAAGATTCGAGATGAAGATGACTTCTTTGCTATTGGGGGGGGAGGGTCGATGGACAACTTGCACAAGAACTCTAGGCTCGATAAATTACTGCATCTGATTGACACGACGGATCGCGCACACGGCAATGCACCTCATGATGCAGCGACCTAGAGGCGAGATGTTGACCTCGTGGATGATATCGAGCTCGTCCCTCAAGGGGAAGCCAACACAGAAGGACGCGTTTTTATCACTGATGTGACTGGCTTTGCGGGAGCTCATCTTCTCCACCGTCTCATGCAAAGACCTTCTGTGAAACAAATTGCGCGTCTAGCACGTCGCAAGAAAGGTCTCAGTGCAGTTACTCGGATCCAACAGACCCTGAAACGGTACGACCTATGGCCAAGTGCATTCGACCAAACTCAGAAGCTCTTGGTGTTGGAGGGTGATCTGGCTGACCACGAACTTGGCTTGGGGACCGAGAAGTTCACCTGGCTGGCGAACTGGGCCTCAGTAATCTTTCACCTCGGTGCAAAATTAACTTCTGTGAGTCGCACCGCGAGCAGTATATCAGCAATGTGAAAGGGACCTGCAACGCGCTCCGGTTAGCTTCCGCCGGTCGTCGCAAAGCATTCCGCTACATGTCAAGCATCGACGCATGGGGTCCAACTGGTGGTGTCCTTGGTACCAAAGAACTGTACGAAGACGAGCCCCTGGAGCGTCATATTGATTGTCTTCGGTATGATTTGGGCTACTCGCAGAGTCAGTGGACGGCCGAAGCCATGGTACGCCGCATGAGAGACCGGAGTTTGCCTATTTCCATATACAGCCGGGATTTATTGTTGGTGATAGCAAGACAGGGACGAATAATCCCGACAATTTCTTCCCTCGGCTTCTGGTGGGATGTATCCAGCTTGGAGCATTCCCGAGAATTGATCAGCGACTGGAATACGTGACTGTTGGCTATATTATCGATTCCCTTATGCACATTGCATCCGATAACAACAATTTAGGCAAGTCATACAGCTTGCTTTCTCCAGATGTGAGGCAATCAGTCGATGTAGAAGGAACCTGTGCTATGCTCAATAAGGCCGGATACGATGTCAAACTCGTTTATTACGAGGAGTGGGTGGAACAATTATCAAAGATGCCGGAAGACGGGCCCTTGGCGCCTTTGATGCCTATGTTCCAGGAGAAGGTGTTAGGTCGGCTGACGCGCTGCGAGGCAAGTTAGTACTCGCCTGTGCACCGCTGTGATAACACGATCAAAGCATTGAAGAGCCGTCCTGACATTGAATACACCTCATTCAATGTCACTCTATTGGAGAAGTTCATCAGCTCCTGGAATCGAAAGGGATTCTACCATGTCAGGTCTGCCAATCTTCCGTAAAGAGGTAATCCTTCGATACACTGCGGGCCATGTTTGAGGTCGCTGTCTTTAAGCTTGAACATCTTTGCCTTCATAGAAGAGCTCGGCTCATATAAAAATTGAGGATAATGTGGGGTATAGAAATGGCAAAGAATCTTCCTTTTAAGGCTTTTCCCAAGAGGTTCCAAAGTTCACATTAACAGGAGAGGCACCTCATTATGACTGTACTGTGTCATGATACCCTGTCGCTTTACATGGTGTTAGAATTTAGTAGGTATTGCTACGGTCTTGCCTCATTGATGAATGCTTCCACATATATAGTTTTCGCTTGACACTGATCCATGGTTACATGTTTAAATGGTACACCAATCAATAAGCATGGGAATTTGGAGATCCATTCAGACGCTTGTAACGACTAGACAAAAGTAACTATCATACACATGGTCATACTCATATACTCAGGCAACGGTCGTAGCATCAGAGTTGATCCAGTCCCTCGGCACCCTAAAGTTCGAGTTCATCAGCGCTCTTGCCGGGAGCCAAACTCCCACGCAGGCCAGTGTTATCAGGAGGGAACTCTAAACGTCCGGAGCCAACGCCTGTAATACGCTGGTCAAGGGAGTTCCAGTCACTGGCAACTGGAGGTTGATTAGGCAGAGGCAAGTTGGCCTTTACCTTCTCAATTTGTGTGCCTATGTCGGTGTTTTGATCGATGATAGACTACAGAGAACATGTTAGTGATCTATTTTTTACTTGGTGTTGCATTGCAAATACTAACCTTCATTCTAGAGACATTGGAGTCCGCTGGGGTACGGCCACGATGACACAGAGAAAGCTTGGACTCTGCCCTGCGGAGGTCCTGGATGGTGGTGTGAAAGGTAGCCTCAGACATTTGGCGTGTGGCTGTGGATGTGGTGATGTCGACGAAGAGGAGGTGTTGGAACTGGCTGAAAATGATTTTGAATCTCAACCATCTTATCTCAGGCAAGGCAACTGAGAGTTTATATATCTACCAAGTTCTTTCTCGATGGCAAGACGCTGTGACGTTTGCTACAAATGACGACATGGCATCCAGGGCCATGGATATTCTCCCCACCAGAACCAGCCTGCTTCATCTTGGGAATTTGGCCTCTATTGGAGATTCCCCACTTTTGGGCCAACAGAGAATAGCTAACTGGATAAAGCTCGGGGATTGGCGTCATAGCCTATGGACCGCCCGAGGTGGCAAGGCTGGTCATCTGCTGTCCTGGCAAGATGCTATGCATATCCCCTTATATTACCACTCGAGGCCTGTCGAGGAGCAATGTGTATGTTAAAGCTTGAAGCTGAGGTTTCATAGACCGATTGTATTTAACGTATCTCTCGGTCCATCAATCCGTTTACGCCTATCTTTGCTGTTTAGTACATTCCAACCACGATCGGGAACAGTTCGACGAAGTAATCATAGAGAGCATTCTCCTCAGCTCAATTCGAGTATAGTGAATCACGTATCTTATGTGCGAAAGCACAGCAGGAGCATATCATGTTGAAGCTTTGCAAAGACCTGGAATTCAAGCACCAGGACCGCCGGGGAAGTAGATATACAACGGTTGGCCGTAGTGTTTCACCATGAATTATGGCCAACAGACTAGACCTCCAGGTACGATCTTCCAGCCATTCTAGATTGATATCCAGAGCGATAATAGACGGACTGCATATTAACTAAAGGCTTCAACAAGTTCAAGGGTAGTCGGCGTCCTAAAGCGGCATAAAAGCATGCAGGCCATCAAGACCGCCTTCCCTTTTGGCACGGCAGAAAATGTTTCTTATCGAAAGACATTCAGGTCCGAGGCCTGTGGAGAACTGGTAAATCTGGTCATTGTGCTATTCTGAGGATCTCTTGCTCTTTGACACATCTATCCTGAAATATGCCTCGAGATCCGCTGATCGGACTGGTGGGAAAGGTATGTCGTTCCCCTGCATTGTTCCACCACCCCACTGACCGGAGGTGCGAGGGGCATACAGCCGTCAAGTGGAAAATCCACAACATTGAACAGCTTGACGGATGCGACTTCGAAAGTCGGTAAGTGAACCGGAATGCAGTTATAATCAATCTCGGAAACCTGATCAAGTATGCTCTGAATAGGGAACTTCCCGTATGTTTGCCCCGGTTGCTCTACACGAGCATCTCGACCTTATCGCACTTGATCGCGCAGGCCGTGTTGACACCCGACAGCTTCACAACCATTGACCCCCAGCGAGCCATCGGATACCTTCAGATAGAATGCCCATGCCAGCGACATAATGTTTCAGATCGGTGCCAGCCCAACTACGGAGGCTGCCACGAAGGGCGACGTTCCGTCCCGATTGAGTTGCTAGATGTCGCAGGTCTTGTGCCGGGCGCGCATCAGGGTCGCGGACTGGGTAACAAGTTCTTGGACGATCTGCGTCACGCTGATGCTCTGATTCATGTTGTGGATGTGAGTGGCACCACGGATGCTGAAGGTTAGTTGGTGTGCCGGATTGAATAGAAACCGCACGGATCGGGAGTTGATAAATATCTACAGGAAAGGCTACTCGAGGATATGATCCGTCAGTAGACATCGAGTGGTTGCGATCAGAGATCGTGCGATGGGTGCTAGGAAACCTGATGGAGAAGTGGTACGTTTGCAAATATCGACAATGGAACGAGGGACAAGTGCTGATCTATCCTAAGGGGTTCTATAAAGAGGAGACATCAGGCGTTGAGTCAGAACTCTTGCAACAATATTTATAATGACAGAACTGACTTTAGTGCAGAGGCAAACCCCATCGACACATTGCAGAAACAGTTTGCTGGTTATGGAAGTACCCAGGCCACTGTTGCGCGATTTATGGATAAACTTGCCTTAAAGGAGCCGCTGGAGGATTGGTCAGATGAGACGGTAGAGCTTGTTGTTAACGCTTTTATCGATGAGAAATTCCCCACAGTGTTCGCGTTGAACAAGATCGACCACCCAGATGCAGACAAGGTACGAGCATCCGACAGATGGCCCATATATTGTTCTGACAGAAATGGCAGAACATCAGCAAAATTGCGAAAATGCAAGATCCCCAAAGCATTGTGCTTTGCTCCGCTATATCTGAGGTTTTCCTCCGAAAGCTGGCAAAGCAGGATTACATCAAATACGTCGAAGGTAGTGAGTTTATCGATACGCGAGAAGATTTGATCGAGATGGGCGACCCAGATGGAGGAGGCCTCAAAGAGATGGATGAAAAATTGAAAACGTATGTTCAGTGCTCATTGGAAAGTTGTAACCTTGCTAACGACTTCGCTCCAGTCGGGTTGAGAACATGAAAGACATGGTGCTGTATCGATTTGGATCTACCGGAGTCGTCCAATGTCTTTCCCGAGCCGCAGAGCTTTTGGGCCTCGTACCAGTGTTCCCCGTCCGGAACGTGGCGACATTCAACTCTGGCACTGGAACTGCTGTATTCCGCGACTGTGTTTTGGTCAATAAGTGAGTACCCCCTATTCCGAGCCGACATAGCCTGTCTAACATCCCACAGAAACAGTACTGTCGGTGATGTCGCCCGGAAGGTGATGGGTGACGTACCTATCAATTATGTCGAAGGAGTGGGTGGAACTCGAGTCTCCGAGGATGACATTGTGGCAGTTGGGAAACACGATGTGAGTTCCCCCCCCCCCGGCGAAACTACAGAATGCGATTTATTGACTGATTACCATTTCAGATCCTATCGTTTAAGGTTGGTCGATAGACCGGTCCGTCCATTTATGTACAGCATCTCCCATGATATGACATTAGCAATGGAAACGTCTTACGACCTCGTTCTCTACTCCGATTCACTATTATTTCAAATTTTGGACGTCGACACTGAAATGTCGAACTCGAAGAACATCATAAAACACCACAACATATCTGAGTTCAACCCCCCTTCTGCAAGACAGAGACGCAGTCAGCAACATGAACTCCCCCATCATGTATGTGAACTGACCTTTGACCGCTCGTCATTCATGCCAATGACCGGCTCTGGCGCTTTGGGATGCTCCTCTTTAGCCTTCTTTCCATACTTGATCCCGCCCCTCTCCGTCATTCCTCGTGACTTGGTTTCATCTGCAAGGCCCTGGTTTGTTCTCCTTTCCTTAAAGCCAGAGGCCGCTGCCTCTGAATGTACATCCTCTGTGTCGCCTTTCTTAGACCGCCGGGATGTGTGATCTTCTGCTGAACTCCCTTTCCAATCCTCAAAGATGGAGTAATTTCGGAGCCCAAGTGGTGCACGGAGAACTGGCGCCTGTATGATGGACTGTAACGGTAGGACGACGCGCCATGGTTGTCGTGAAACAGACATGCCGTGCAGTATTGGCGTAGCAGAAGAGATACAGTTATCGCGCGTAGCGAATTGTGAGTAATGTAAGCACTTGAACACCTGGAGCGTTGGCAATAATCATATATTGCTATGACGTCGGCATGCTGCAATGCGATCTTGTTCCACAAAGGGTAAGAGCCGATTCCGGCTCGGGGCCTTGCTTATCGATAAGACAACGATCGTCATGGGCGGGACATTCTAGGCGCACAACACCAACCACCAATTCAATTCACAATGAAGCGCGAGTACATCCCGATCGAATCCCTGCCAGCTTGGCAGCGGCTCAACGGGATCGTCGTCCAAGGCATCGCAGTTCATAAGTTTGGATCAGATCAACATGGCGCAGACAAAGGCAGTGCCCTCATCGCAACGGAAGCGCAGATGAGCAGCGAGAACGATGCTAAACCAAATATCCTCCTACAAGTTCCCTCAGAATTGGTTTTATCCCTGGAGACAGTCCAGGACCATGCCAAAACTGACAAGTACTTGCGCAACGTGTTGGAGACAATCGGCGACTTTGGAAGGGTATGAGCTGCTCCTCCCCACAGCTAGCTACATTACAATGGGGAAAACCAACTAAGATACACAGACAGCTAGAGGAGCAATCCTAATATTCTTACTCATTCAACTGTCCCATAGCAGCCCCGATCTGCGCTCAGCACAAGAGACCATCGGTATCTCCAATCCCTGGACCGAATACGTGAAGTTCCTGCCTCCATCGTTCCCCCTGCCTACCTTATATACTGCCGACGAACGAGAGCTGCTTCGAGGCACATCGCTTGAGGAAGCTTTGGATGCGAAGGTCGCATCCCTTGAGCGGGAGTTTGAACAGCTCCGCCAGGCTACGGAGGGTATCGCGTGGTGCCAGCGGAGCTGGTGGGATGAGAAAACTGGCACACTGACAATTGATGATTGGAAATATGTCGACGCTGCTTATCGGTCACGCATGTTGGACCTACCTAGCAGTGGCCTGGCAATGGTGCCTTGTATTGATATGGCCAATCATGCCTCCGGTGATGGGGTCAAGGCGCTGTACGATGCAGACTCAGAGGGAAACGCAGTTCTTCAGTTACGATGGGGCAAAACTCTCCAGCCCGGAGAAGAAGTTACGATTTCGTGAGATCCTTTTACGGTGGACATGGTTATTGAGGGCTTGGCTGACACATGGCACGACAGGTACGGAGATGAAAAGCCCGCATCTGAAATGATATTTTCCTACGGATTCCTCGAAAGCGGCGTGACGGGCGCACGAGAAATATTCCTCAATCTAGATATTCCCGAGGATGACCCTCTCGGCCTCGCAAAGAAGATGTTCTGCCGAAACAATTCGGGAGTTCGAATTTCGGCTGCTGAGGGCTCCGAAGGAATAACATGGGAGAGTGAGCTTGCGTGGATAGCATGCGTGAACGAAGAAGACGGGCTTCACTTCGGGATCGCACAGACAACCGACGGCGGTAGGGAGCTGGAAACGACCTGGAAAGGCGAAAAGATCCAATCAGCCACTCGTCTCCGCGAGCTTCTCGCTGTTGATCCCTTATGGGAGATCTTTCAGCTACGCGCTGCGGTGTTGCTTCTCGAACGGCTTGAGACTCAGCTCGGGCTTCTCCAGGAGACTGACGAGGCTATCTCGAACGTGCAAGAAGACAAAGCGGCTTTGGATTCTATGTTCCGACCTGGGATCTTCAGCTCAATTGCCCAATTCCGGGCCTTGGAAGGGGAGCTGCTGGGGAAGGCGGTGGAGGAATTAATAAAACAGGTAAGTGATCTGTGTCGAGCGTCTCAAGGGGCCGTCTCCTTTCTCATTTCCCGCAACTGACCATGGCACACAGAGAACAGAGCTACTGGCTTCTAAAACGGTGGCAGAGTATTTTAGTGCCCAGACAGCGGAGCTGGACGAAGCCGAAGACTTCTCATGACGCAAGGGCCCAGATCTTGTCGATGGGTCTGATGAAGACAGACTAGGAACATAATAATATGTCCGAACATGTTGAAGCCTCTGGAGATCCCTAAATATCCACTTAATGCCCAATTTTTGGTTTGGCTAACATGCTGCAGCAAGCCCAGTGCCCAGATCATCTCAAAAAAAGAAAGTCGCGAGCCCCACACCTCCATAGCGCATCGAACTATCCCGTTCAATCATGACGAAAAGACAGGGGGACCATACCATAGCTATGAGGTTCCAAGTCCAAAATCATAAGAATAGTCGGCCGCATCATTATGTCTTTTTACTAGTCTTCTTAATCTTCTCAGATAGTCACTCTAGATGTCTTCTAGATATTTTCTCCCACTTCTCAATTTTATATTTATACGGCAGAAAAGGCGGGAAAGGGCGGGAAGGGGTGTAAACCCGACATGGAACTTCTCTATATTGTATAAATAGGGATGGAGTTGTAAAAGGGGTTTAACAACGTGATCTACACACAGGGTTGGGATATGCATGCGGGGGAAGCCAGTTGCAAGGACGCTGATTTCGATATCCACCGGATTGGCCATGGACGCGGTATATGGCATTCTCGTAAATGAACCCGAGTGCACCGGTGAGGTTAATCGATATGCCAGAGAAGGAGCATAGTTTTGTCTACAATTCGGAATGACCAATATTGAGGGATGCGGTATGTACATAGTGGAGCGCATGAACACAGCCGTAGATCGCGAATCCAACAGACCGGAGCCTAGTGGGGCTATTAACTTACAAACCATGGTTCGCTCATCTCTCGGGAAAAACTCGCTGAGCGGACGGAACAAAACGGGCTTTCCTTCACATTACCATAAATACGAGATGTTGTACAACATACTGATTCGATATTAAATATTGAACCATGTCCCGCATCTTTGGTTCTGATGACAACGACTAGTCAATTCAGTTGATAGGTGCCCAGGTGGATCTAGTAATATAATTTACACTTGAAACTCACCAGTTGTGTTTGATGTTTCCCGGCGATCGATCCCCCGAACGGTTCGCCACTGTAGTGAAGTCTATATGACTTCACTGGTATGAATTTAAACCTTAGGATCCTGGGGTTTTCTGGGCCTTGATGATTTAGAGTTGAATTTGGATCTCATTTTGGTCATGACTTCAGCAAGGCCCCGAGTGGCCAACGACTTAAGGTGGTATTTCGTGTACGGAGTACAAAGTACGTACATATTATCCGGTGTGTTTCATTATTGGAAGGATCGCGGAGTTGCCTTTTGTTTTAGTGGGAAAATCAGACAAATTTGACTATGGACAACGGCCGATCATCGGACCAAAAACACTGGGCCTATTAGGCCAACCTGCGTAGGGAGGTAGGGAGTAGGTAGACACGCGCTGGAGAACTGCCACCGGGGGAGGAATTCGGAATCTGTTTGGAGCGCCCAGTTACTGCAACCGGTTTGCATCCGAGCGCTGCGCTTTAGGATGTAGCACTCAAAAGTCTATCTCAGTCGGAGTACTCAATACAGAGTGTACCTACCCGAAAAAGGGGCGCCATTTTACCATTGAACCCACTCTACATTCCCATATTGCTCCGTTGACAATACCATATCGACCAAAGAGTTGTGGAATGTGGAGTGCGGGGACTGGGGGATCGGTCCAACTATCAAATATAAGGAATGTCGCTGCAGGAAAAATCCGGGGCGAGTTTGAGCGGTTCACGGGATAGGATGTAGCGGCCCCTCAAAATAGTCAAAATATCGGGTCCAATAACGACTCAAGGCGAAAGTGAACGGAGTCGGTACGCAATCAATACCAATTACCGATACAACGACGAGTTTATTGGTGCCAGAGGAAGGTCAGCAGTCTCCAGGGCTCCACCTTCAACTGACTCAGCATTGGCGGGACCCCATCTTCCCGAAGTCGCCCACCCCATGTTTTTAGGCTTCTTTCTGCATACAACATACCTGTCTTATTGAAGGAGATTCTTCAGTTGCATTGTCTTGGAATTAAGAATTTTATACGGAGTGTTGTGCTTACACTTCTGGCGCCTTCCAAATACAACGGACTTAACCCCGGCGGCCCGTGTGCCCCTTCTGCACAACATGCCTGGTATCTTGCCTATGAAAGTGATCAAGGTCGGTGGGACTGGGACAACGAGCCGTATTGCCCAAGCCTGTGACCGATGCCGAAGTAAGAAAATACGCTGTGACGGTGTTCGACCTTGCTGCTCTCAATGTGCCAACGTGGGCTTCGAGTGCCGCACCAGCGACAAACTGAGCCGCCGCGCCTTCCCACGTGGATATACCGAGTCGCTAGAAGAACGAGTCAGGACTCTAGAAACCGAAGTTAAAGACTTAAAGGACCTTTTAGACGAGAAGGATGAAAAGATCGACGTCTTGTCCCGGATACATTCGTTTACGCCGCCGCAACGAGCTGCCTCTGTGCGGTCGCCCTCTGCTTCTGCGACAGTGAAGTCGAATACTTCGGATTTATCGGATGGTGTGTTTCATGTAGAGAGATCGACGACCCGGCCATCCCAGAAGTCGCAGAACCCTTTTATCGGGTTTTCTAGCACCCAGGGCTTTGCTGGTATGTTATGCGTTTCCCTTTCTAAATGGAAGCAATCAACTTACATGCGCAGATGTCTTTACCAACAAGCTTGTCAGTGAGGGTAAATCAGCGAAAAAGATACCCACGGTGGCGCTCACGTCCTTGCCTGCCTCGGTCATCCAGGGTGCCCCCAACCAGGCTGTGAAAACGCCACCCCGCTTGGTGTCAGACCAGCTGATCAACATCTTCTTCCAAGAATGGGCGCCGCTGTACCCTGTGGTACATCGTCCGACCATTCTGAAAGCTTATGAGCAGTATATCAACAATACGGAGACTCTCCAGCGCAATCCCCATGTGATGGCACAGTTGAACCTGATTTTTGGTATTGCTGCCCTTTCATCAACGTCACGAACCAACCAAGACCCGACTTTCTTCGAAGAGAACTGGTCGACCACGCTCGATTCGTTCTCGAGTGAAACGTCGGTTCCCAGCCTGCAGTGCTTTGTTCTTGGCCAGATCTACTGCATAACCAAAGGCGACTACCGCACCTTGCTTCGCTACCGTGCCCTTGGTGTGGATATTTGCCATCAGCTAGGCATGCATGAAAACCAAGAAAGCTCGGGCAACCCTCTCGAGGACGAGACTCGTAAGAAGGTTTTCTGGTCGCAATATGTGCTTGACCGGTTCTGCTCCGCGCTTACTGGACTGCCTGTCCTGTTGCGCGAAGAGGATATCGAGACTGAGTATCCCCTTGATGTGGACGATGAGAATGTCACAGAAACAGGGTTTTTGCCGACCCTTCCTGGCGAATCCACTCGTATTTCCAGCGCCATCGCTCTCTTTGGGGCTGCGCGGATTTTGAACAGGGCTTTGGACGATCTGTTCCCTTCGAAATCTGGATACGATGTGTGTGTGTCGAAGATGCGCTCCGTGACAGGGCAATTGGACGGGTGGCTTCACACGCTGCCGCCACACCTTCGTCTCGAGTTCAGTCAGGATAAGCCTAGCACGAACATCACGAGTAGTCGTTCGCCGCTCCTGGTAGGTCCCAGCATGGGTGCATGGATTCATTAATGTTTTACAAGACAACGCTGACCTTATACAGTCACTTGTGTACTATTTCATTCGATCTTTGATACATCGCCCGGCTGTATGCTACGCTGACGAGAACCTTCGCTCTGCGTCTGTCCTGGCCCTGTCCGATTCAGCGAAGCATATCATTCAGATTCTTGAACTTCTTGATGAGAGGCGTTTGTGTCTCTCTGTTTGTATCAACAGGAAAGAGCTTATATTCTTTTCCGGGCTTGGACTCCTTTGGCAAATGCTTGATGTCAAAAATGATAGCAAACTGGCCAAGGATAGCCAGAAGCTACTTGGAACTGCGATGCATTACCTCCAGTCGGAGTCGACTGCGGCTGCTGCTGAATTCGGCACGCTGTCTAATACTCTGGTTTCACTTGACGGTGGAAGACACCCATCAGTGGGCAAGCAGCACCACCAGGAGATGGTAGCGCCAACACAGAAGCCGAGCAAATCCCCCAAGAAGCACTTGCAGGCCCTAAAGTCGCGCCTCATCGGCTGCTCCACCCGTGATAAGCAGCCTCCAACCCAACCCTCCCCGCCGTCCTCTCGCCGGAACACCATCTCTGGAGCCACACCCCCACTTATTCCCCAGTCGCTCCGCTCCCCTAGCTGGAGCAGCCTGCCTCTCTCTCAACCTGACCAGCTCCCCGCCCCACTCTACCTCAACGACAAAGGCCACTCCCCCTTGGACCTACCCTCAGACCCACGCTTAGCCGCATCCTTGGGCTACGACCACCCACGTTCCATGTCCTGCTCTATGCCCTCCGACCCCACAGCTGGTGCCATCACAATGGCCGATTGGGAATATGTATTGAGCGACATGGACCGCGGGTACTCCAACATCTTCACCGGCATCTACGGCGGCAAAGAATGCGGCGAAGACCCGGGCCCATTTGCCTCCATCGCGGCAGAATACAACCGCAAACCCAATAACGCCTCTCTAGTAAATCATCCGCAGAGCGATATGCACGGCCTCTCGCCCGAGGCATGGTCCTCCAGTAGTGGCGACTTCGTACACAAGCAAGACCATACCGCGCAGAGCGTTCTGAGCTATTCGAGCGAGAGTATGGGGAGTGCTGAGGAGTCTCTGGCACCCTATGCTGATGTCCGGGTCTGTCCTGAGGATATCAAGACCATCGATCCTTTCCATGCTTTTGCTATGCATGGTGAAGATGAGGTCGATGAGTTTTCTCTGGTCAATGGCTGGGATCGACGCCTGGCCGTCTGATTAATTATGTAGCGCTGGGTGTCTTTTTCCTTGAGAGGGATTTGGGTTTGAAATCACTTTCCGCTTTTCTATTCTATTCATGATACCTGTGGATGAGGGCGTTTATATGCGTTCATTTTTCTTTGAGTTTTGTCTGCTATTTTCCTCTAACTCTCTTTGATCTTCTCTTATGCTTGGAAATATGTTTTTGTTATTGTCTGCCGTGGCTGGTATGCCTGGTATATATTATGTTTTCTTGGATAGGCAATGCCTAGGATATCGCGTATATATGAATTTGATGATGATCACAATACACATTTGGGCCTAATTACACCAGAAGTAGATCTGCAGAATATTCCAACCGGTGCCTTCGCGTGCTCCGTTCTCGATATACTTGACAGAAGAAGAGGCGCCTACGAGCATTAAACTACATGTACCTGTCTATCTCCACTGCTACTTCGAGGCATTCCATCTCCGGATTCGTGCTCATTGCTCCCTGTTAGGCCAAAAGGACCACCTTATCGAAGCTTCCATTTAGATAACCCCAGAGCCGGTATATATGTATAGTAGCACTCCTTGCCTGCCTTCAACTACCTACGACCAGTTTGTACCGTTGATTAATTATCCTTTATATACATCTACCTGGTAATTTTCGACACCGTGAATTGCAACTTTTTGAGTGCCTGAAGCTGCTATATCGATAAAAGGTCTTAACAACTATGGAGTTGATATGAAATCAAATGAGGGACGTTGTGGGGATATAAGGTTGTACATATATGTGCTTCGGGCTACGTCACTCGCGCGTTTGCGTCACTCGTATGTGAAACACATCTTTAGCGTAGCCCCTAGTTACTCGCGATGAGCTCAACCACACTCTGTGAGAGTGGTCCTTTCGTATAATGCGAGATGGTTCTCTTTCTCTGTAAATTTTGCTGGTATACCTACATACCTACATAGGTACGCAGTATCACGTACGACCAATTGCAGTTTGACCCGAGATGTTATGCCGCTGAGTCAGCGGCAAGTTGAGAGACTTTCTGGCCAACATTATTGGTCGACCCTTAAAGTATGCCAACTGCCCAGAGTTATCGTTATACTTTGGATGGTGCAACCAGTTGGGGTGACCAAGCTCACGTAAATATCCATGGATACACAGCGAGCAAGCACCACAGGGATCGGTTTCCGAGAATCCCTATAAATGTCACTCTTCAGGGGAACATCGGTCACCGTCTGCACCTCACCTCCTCGATCCTCATCTCCTAAGATGACATCTGAATCAAACTTATATCCGAAAATGGGCGCATGGAAGGAGATCAGACCTCGGCTTTTGCCAGCTGTGATCACCATGGCTCTCCTCCTTCAGGTTCTTTTCTTGGGGAACATGTGCTATCTTTATGCAACACAGTTCCGAAGTACCACCCGTTATCACAACTTCAATGTGCTTTATGTTGACTATGATGGCGGTATCATTGGAAAGTCCGTGTCAGACGCCTACCAACAATTACGCGGAGATGGATTCCCAACCTTGAAGTCGGAACCTTCTAATGAATATCCCCAACCAGAGGATATTCGAGAAGCCGTATGCCGCGGTGACTACTGGGGGGCTGTCTATACCACTGAGGGTGGATCAGCTGGTCTGGCGTCGGCGCTGGTAAACGCGTCCAGCCCGCCGAACTTGCTCACTTATATCTGGAACGGGGTGAGATACCCGGTTTTCTCACAGGCCGCGGTATACTCCAACATGTTGAAATTGATTGAAACCACAAGGTCAACATACTACGCCAACAACGGATCTTCAGTGGCCACCTCCGCCGACCTCTCTAATGCAGCCACCCTTCAAGCGTTCCTTAACCCCATCCATGCCGAAGAAATCAACATCAAGGATACGGAACAAGGTACAAGAGTCTTCTACAACACAGTATCCATGGTGATGCCGATCCTCCAACAGTTCTTTTTCATGTTGGCCCTGAACGGGATCTCAACACATTTTGGCGCATTCACCAAATTGTCCTGGAAAACCAATGGCCTGATTCGCGTCATAGCCTCCATCCTCTACACCCTCACGGGATCGCTGTTAATGACCGGGTATATATGGGCATTCAGGGAGTCCTGGGGACAGCAAGGAAGTCGGTTTGTGCTTACTTGGGTCATTATGTGGCTTCTGATGCACATCAACTTCCTGTTTTTCGACATCACGACTGCTTTCATCCCGATTCAGTTCATGCCGTTTATTGTTTTGACATGGATCATTCTGAATGTTGCCAGCACCATCAGCCCATTTGAGCTGAATCCCGGATTCTTCCGTTGGGCCTACGCTCTTCCCTCCCATGAGGCATACCAGGTCCTGATCCAGATCTGGTCTGGTGGGTGCAATAATCGGCTCTACCGTACGCTCCCTATAATGTTCTCGTGGTGGATTGTTGGTGTCCCCGTTGCAGTTTATGCAATGCAACATCGGTGCAAAGCTGCTGTGGCCGCCCAGGAAGCCTTGGATCGTGCGGGCCTGGAAAACCAGTCCGAAAAAAATGCGAGAACGAACGAGACGGTGACGCAAGTTGGTAGCTCACGTCAATTGGACCAAATTGGGGACTCAGTCGAGGCTCTTCCTCGTCATGTTGCCTGAACAGGGAGATACCCAAGTGGAGGTGGCTAGTAATAGTGATTAGAATTTTGGGGGAAAATGGAAATTGATGGAAAAGGAGAAGGATAAATGATGCTTTGCTTAGCAGTGGTTTGCCGCCCTTGGAGGCCACACGAGGTGCATTATCCGGCGATGTATGTTAAGTACACGAATTGAAAGAGACTCTCCTATTCCACAGGATTGTACTTGCGGTGAGTCGTCGAGCTATGGAAATGGGTTCGAAACTCACGTCCCATTTTGCGTTGTAGATTCTCTGAGCCGGAGTATGAACAGACCATTTCTAGCAAGATATTGTGGCCTGTCCAACTCAACATCTAGCATTTACAACTACACCTCGATCAAGTCCATAATTGTATCAAGCAGCATAATTCCTGCGGTAATGTTAAAAAAAAAAGGAAAGAGGAAAGAGGAAAGAGGGAGCTTTCTCTATAGGACGGCGTCGAAAACAGTGCAGCCACCGAAGACACTTCTCGTGACTCTCTGCACTTGCTGGTATATTTGACTATCAATACTATGAGAATTGTACTTACAGGTAGACAAGATAATCTCTTCAAAGAGCCAACATTGCCATAGAAGTGCGGCCGGTCAATGCCAAGCTTCGTTGCCACCGATTGCATCACTACTTCTCCAGACCCCAGGTCATCGCGTGGCTACCCCAGAAATATCATTCGTTCCCAGAAAGAACTCATTAAGAGGTGCAGAGGGCCGGGACTTCCGCGCCACCCAAAATTTGTGGGCGTGGAGTCTGAAGTTGATATGTTGACCAACAGCAGCGACGAACCACCCAGACACCTCATAGCTGAACCGGCGAACTTGCCAAATCCGCCAAATCCGTCTCAAATTACTTGTGGAGACACGCCTGAAGCGCGCACGCTCAGGCTCTTGGATCAACGTGTCATCGGTGTCCTCGATCGTATGAGCTCCTGAAAAACTCGGCTTCCGTCACTGCCCCATCTTGCCTAGCCTTGGCTTTCTTGGTTAGGCACTGTATATAAAAAGGGTTGATCCGGTACGGCATGGATTTCGAAAAAAGAATTAGTTGCCAAGCAGCGGATATCACAGACAAGTAGTACTTGTTGGCGCTATGTTCGATAAGATCTTCAAAAAGCGTCCACAGGACCTCTATGTAGACCCTCAGGTCCCTGGGGAGTCTAACTCCACAAATGGACATGAGAAAGGCCCCGGTGATGTCGTCGACACCCCTATTCCGCTCCTGACTTGGCGCTCATTCATCATGGGCATTCTCGTCTCTATGGGCGGTTTCCTTTTCGGTTACGACACTGGTCAGATCTCCGGCTTCTTGGAGATGAAAAACTTTCTTGAGCGCTACGGTGAACTTCAATCGGATGTGACTTACCATTTCAGTCATGTTCGTTCGGGTCTCATTGTTGCCTTGGTAAGCGGCGTGCTCTTTGCCATTTCTTGATCATATGCTAACACGCCATACTAGCTGTCGATTGGTACTCTGATGGGGGCTTTAATCGCAGCACCGATCGCTGACCGGATCGGACGAAAGTGGTGTATCAGTTGGTGGTCTCTGATGGTGTGCATTGGAATCACCATCCAGATGTCCTCGCCTTTTGGCAAGTGGTACCAGGTCGCCATGGGTCGTTGGGTTGCCGGCCTCGGAGTTGGTGCAATCTCCCTACTGGTACCTATGTATCAAGCCGAATCAGGACCGAGGCACATTCGAGGATCGCTGATTAGGTATGTTGGATACCCAGCCCTGGGGCCATAACAGACGTCAATCATCGCTTACTAACTCTTCTCAGTACATATCAGCTATTCATCACACTTGGAATCTTCGTTGCCAACTGTATCAACTTTGGAACCGAAGGTCGCCCTGACACCGGTTCATGGCGTATCCCTATGGGTGTCACATATATTTGGGCCGCAATCCTTGGTGTTGGTATGATGTTCTTTCCTGAAAGTCCACGTTACGACTACCGCCACGGCAAGGTGGATAAAGCAATGGACACTCTTTCCAAAGTCTATGGTATCCCTCGTAACCACCGCGCTCTCCACATCGAGTTCGATGAAATCAAACAGAAACACGAGGAAGAGAAGCGCAACGGAAAGGTGACCTGGATACAGATGTTCCATGCTCCCACGATGTCGTACCGGATAGCTGTTGGCGTCGCCCTGCAAGCTCTCCAACAGCTGACAGGTGCTAATTACTTCTTCTATTATGTAAGTCTTGAGATCATGACACAGAGGAAAGAGAAGCAACTAACACATACTAGGGAACAACGATCTTCAAGGGCGCTGGAATCGAGAATAGTTATGTCACACAGATGATTCTAGGTGGCGTCAACTTTGGAACAACATTCCTTGGCCTCTATCTAATCGAGCACTGGGGCCGACGCCGTTCTCTTATAACCGGTGCACTCTGGATGTTCGTCTGCTTCATGGTCTTTGCTTCGGTGGGCCATTTCTCCCTGGATCGAGAGTCACCCGAGAGAACGAAATCTGCCGGCGTGGTTATGGTGGTCTTTGCCTGCCTTTTTATTCTTGGTTTTGCCAGCACATGGGGTCCCATGGTGTGGACGATCATCGCCGAGTTGTATCCTTCTCAATACCGTGCGAAAGCCATGTCTCTGGCGACTGCATCAAACTGGCTCTGGAACTTCCTCCTTGCCTTCTTCACTCCCTTTATTACCGGCGCTATTGACTTCCGCTTCGGGTATGTTTTCGCCGGATGTCTTTTCCTTGCAGCGGCTCTGGTTTACTTCGCTGTTATGGAGGGACAGGGCCGTACTCTGGAGGAGATCGATACTATGTACCAGCTGAAGGTGAGGCCGTGGAAAAGCTCGAAGTTCCAGTTCCCTGCCAGTCCAGACGTTCTCAGAGGCTCGTTTGATAAAGGGGATGCGCCTAGGTCGTCTCATGTTGGTGATCCTACTACAGAGCTACGCGAAGATGGGTCGTCGGTGCCTGAAACTCGTGCGCAAGAATGAAGGGGTTTGTGAGTTACGAGAAGTGTCGTTAGATCGAAGTCGTGCATGTACCAATAGTCTTCCTTGTTCTTCATTTAGCACGCCACTGTTTGTTCAACCGATGGGCTTCTTCGGAGGGGTATAGCTTGCACCAATTTATATTTAGCATTCGTCCTATAGTATTCCTTTTGGGCTGCGTGATATTCTCTAGAGGGCCTGGTCAAACTCGCCTGTCGCTGACTTCTTCACAAGAATTCCATCCAAGTGCTGCGTCAATTCCTCCACATCCCCAAGTTCACCCACCCATCCGATGTATTGATCCGGGCGAACGATCACCAGCGCCCCAAGCACCCGGTCCACTCCCCACTTCTCATATGCTGTTCCATCGCAGTATCTATCAAACATGCAAGCATCATCACACCAAATCTTGTCATATGCCCATCCTTTCACCGGGTCGAATGGGCGCAGAATCTCCGGGAAATCAAAGAATTCTACCTCTTTCCACGGCGAAGTATGGATGGTGAGTACATCAACAGGACTCTTAAATCGACCAGGAATCTCCAGGTAGCGGCTCAGGGGTGAAATGTTCGACCCAGACTGTCCAGCCAAACCCCGAGTCAAGGTCTCAAGGCGTTGTCTCTGCATTGGGTTTCGTATATCCCCAGCTAAAACTAGAATGCGAAAGCGCCCATCGCTTTCCAATACTCTTGTTGTCCATTGCGTACCGCCATCAGCGTGATTGCGGAGTTTCACCGGCCGCACTCTCTCCCCAGGAATCATGTGCCGTGCAAAGGCAAATTCAGCATTGTCTTCGGCCTTCCGAACAAGACTGCTCGCGGGGTAAAATACCTTCCACCCATCCGCGAAGTCCTCAAACCTCCCCGCTATAAGGGCCATATCCGAAGCTTTCGCTCCAGGTTTCCGATCAGTAAATATAGGCGACCAATGGCGATCAAAGTCAAGCAACATTTCTGCAAGCGGGTGTCTCTCCGAAGCATAAGTCTCAAGAACCTCAGGCTTGAGCGTACCCGCCACAGCAAGTGCGATCTTCCACCCAACATTGAATCCATCCTGCATACTCATATTCATCCCAAGCCCCATCTTAGGCGAATGTGTGTGCACTGCATCACCAGCAAGGAAGATCCGGTTGTCTTTTGTGGATTGCGCGGCGATCCGCTGCCCGACCTGGTACACCGTCCACCAGCTACATTCTTTGAAGTCGAAGGTGAACGGGGCAAGGATGGCTTGCATGCGCGCTCGGATTAGCTCCAGCGTGATTTTTGAGCGATCGAAGCGCTCGGTTGCGCCTGCTTCGCAGGTTTGCACCGGGACGTAGAAGCGGACTAATCCGCGCTCGCGTGGAATTACGAGGATCGTGCCTGCGGCGTTGTTCACGACGCTTACACGGCGAATGTCCGCTATTGAGGATTTGATTTAGTGGACGTTATTGGGAGAACAGTATTCACAGTGGGTAGTACTTACGGAAGTCGCTAAGGGGTATCACATCTATCACGCCCCTGTATATATGGTTGTATTAGCTCTTATAGCGCGGGTGAATAATGAGGCCACTGACCATATGTGATCTGTGTTGGACCCTTCCACGGGGATGTCCAGCTGTTTTCTCGTCCAGCTGTGGGCACCATCGCAGCCGATCAGATACTTGGCTTTGATTGTCTCGACCTGGGTCTTCCGTGGCTTTTTGCGCGGGGCTAGATCGGCCCAGTCATCAGGAAGCAAGTTGCTGCGGTTCAACACGTTGTCAGCAGCTTCAGAGCCATTTTCAATTTCCTGTCCACACGGCGGATTCGAATCATCCTCGCCAAGAACTCGGACCTTGACAGTGATAGGGTACGAGTTGGGATCATTACTCAATTCCTCATCATATTCCAAAGAGTCGGCGATCACGCTCCGCTCCACGTCAAGATCAGAGTGTTCCCGAATACTATCGAGAATGAACCGTTCAATGCGTCCCTGATTCAAGCGTGTATTGTGGAAAGGTGACTCGTCGACTCTAAAGATGTCAATCTGAGCCTGTCGGATGATATT